CACTGTGACATTGAAGAATTTTGAAAATGAATACTGTCATTACTGATTGAATTACATATAGGATCTTACATGAGTTTCCATTTCATATGGAATTTATGAAACGAGTCTAAGAATTTTTCAATTTAGCGAGCCTCTGGCGAGCTAAAATGAAAAATTCGTGACGAGTTTCATAAATTTCATATGATTTTTTTTTTTTATTTAGATCCTTATGATCAAGATTTGTAGTATGTGTTCGTGTAAAACGACAATTTTCATGTTACCTTGAAATGTAAAAAGCCGCCATTTTTACTCCAGTGCGTAAGTCTGTGACGTCATGTACTTGTCCTAGCGTGACGTCACAATTGAAACAATTGAAACTTACAACCAATCACAGGGTTGATAGGTCATATTACATGGGTTAATACGCAAACAAAAACGATGTGTGTATATGTGACAAAAAATAGTATGCAACAGTTTTTTTCAATATTTGTAGCATCATGTTCCATGGACATTATATGTGACAAAAAATATTATGCAACAGTTTTTTTCAATATTTGTAGCATCATGTTCCATGGACATTATATGTGACAAAAAATATTATGCAACAGTTTTTTTCAATATTTGTAGCATCATGTTCCATGGACATAGGCTTTTTAATTTAAATGTATTTTATTCATTCGAAGGATTTCTTGATAGACATATGCGTACTACTCTTGCATGGTGTGTACAAATTTATGTCAACTACAAAATACAGTAGAACCATGATAATAAGAAAGAAGATCTTTTTCTGCTCGTTTTGATATATAATACCACTATATTTTTAACATGATAAGGAGTTGTGATGATTTGCAATTTTTCAAGTTCAATGGGGTCATGAACCTTGGTGTTTGACGATCATGAGTAATAATTTAGTTCAGTATCGGGTGGCGGTCGGTTGTTTCTACCAACGTACACACGGTGAATTGACTAAACATAAGTTGTTATTCCACATCAATTTACAACAAATATTTACAAGCTGCAAGTCGGGTGTTTTGTATACTGTAGTAAATCTCCTATACGCTGTACACCTCGCCCTATCTAGTGTTATCAACAACTCAAGTTTCCTTCTCTTACTACATCGCCTTCTATTATGTAATGACGTACATCCTAACCCAGGCCCTACTACAAACCATCTATATTTCACTTGAACATACGTAGTCTGAGAAATAAGTTGTCATATTCAGGACAAGTAGCGTCTCATTATGATATTGTCTGTGTCACCGAGACTTACCTTGTACATCTTTAGCAGACGACGATATACTCCTAGGTGGGGGTGGGGGTTACACTTCCAGTCTCTTGTGCACCCGTCGTAGAGCTGACTTGGAATTTGGGGTGGGTGAAGTGGTTTGGATAGATATCCAGTTTCTAAACAAGGAATACCTCTTATGTACACTCTATAGACCTCCGAATAGTGCACGCTCCTTCTGGAATCACTTTCAACACTCTCTGGAAAAAATGCCTTTCAAGAAACTTCGTATGTAGTTATAGTTGGCGACATTAATGTAGACCTCTTAGCTGTAAAAATAAAATGCCCATTTTATTTACGATATTATAAACTCCTTCCACTTGTCAAACGTTATTTACAAACCGACTCGCATTGGACGCACGTGCTCTACCCTACTTGACCCAGTTCTACTCTCCGACACATGTACTGTTAGTTTCGCTGACGAAAAGGACATTTCAGATCACCAAGCGACGACAGTGGAATTGGTTCAATTCTTATTTACGGCGAGGAATCAGGAAAAGAGATAGACTACTTCAATATTTAAAAATCACACTGTTCCCCAAAAACATTAACCAACTTTCGGAAACAACATAATCATGTGAACTTGTTAATGCAGACATAAATGGCATTATAGATCAATACTCCGATTCGAACCCTAAAAACTTTTGGAAAATTGTCCGCAGATTAATAAAGACAAACTCTACTTTATCTGACATACCTCTCAACACTAATGACATTATAGACATTCTGAAATCTTTAAATGTTAGTAAAGCTGTTGGACATGACACAATTAGCCATCATATGTTGAAAAATACAGCAACCTCTTTTCCTCTATTTCTTATAGTTAAATCTTCTTTGGAGACTTGTATCTTTCCAAGCCAATGGAAACAAGCTTTAGTGATGCCTTCGTTTAAAAAAGGAGATAAACAAGATTCTGCTAATTATAGACCAATTTGGGTTTTTTAAGCACAGTTGGGAAAGTCTTTGAACGGCTAGTAGTAAAATATTTAAATAACTATTTGTTAGATAATTTATTAATATATAAATTTCAATCAGGATTCCAGCCTTGTCACTCTACTGTTTATCAAGTGATCGAAATTTATCACACTATGCGAAAATGTAGAAAAAAAGGCATCCTATAACTACTTGCTTAGTTTTTTGTGATATATCTAAAGCGTTCGATCGTGTTTGGCACAGGGGAATGAAAGTAGAATTAGCTTGCTATGGTATAATCGGGAAATTATTAAATTGGCTAAGTAATTATGTTAGTGATAGGAGGCAGTAAGTTGTTATTAGTAATGACAAGTCTTCTATAAATATATACTAATGCGGGAGTACCCCAAGGCTCAGTACTAGGCCCTTTACTTTTTATTTTATATATATAAATGATATATCTGATAATCTTAAAAGGTTATCAAAATTATTTGCTGACGATACGTCTTTATTATGTTCAGATACATCTCCACTGAACATCGAACCACTATTAATAATGACCTAGGACAAATTCAAGATTGGGCGGATAAGTGGCTGGTAAAATTCAACCCTGCAAAGACAAAAGCATTGCTCATCTCAAACTTCGAACAAGAGTATGTAATAGATGTAAAATTTAATAATGTAAGTGTTGACGTTGTGGACAATCATAGGCACTTAGGGGTAGTATTAGATATAAGCTGTAAATGGAGCTCCCGTGGCATGTTGAGAATATATGCCAAAAAGCATCTAAGCAAATAAGCGTTCTTCGTAAATTGAAATATATTTCAGAAAGAAAAACTTTAAACAAAATATTTAGATCATGCATTCTCCCCTTTTTTAGAATAGTGTTGTGAAGTATGGGATGGATGTACTCTCTCGGTGATGCAGACAAAATAGAAAAACTTCTGCTAGTGGTTGCAAGGATAATTACTGGGTTACCTTCATTGAAAGTGGTTTAGAAACTTTATCCGAGAGAAGATCAGGAAGGAAATTACAACTGTTTTTTTTTTTTATAAAATTCATAATAATCTCGCACCGAACTTTCTCGTCTCTGATCTACTACCCCCTTTAGTGTCAGAAAACTCCCATGTTAACTTCCGTAATGCTGAAAACTACTGTATACTGTACCTAATTCCCGACTAAAACTAACAAAAACATCTTTTTCCCCGTCCACAATCCGACTCTGAAACAATTTAGACCTTGATATTAGACGCAGCGTTTCGTTTTTAAAAATACCCTCCGTAAGCAAAACTTAATTCAAGTTCCAAATTATTACCTCATTGGCGACAGAAAAGGGAATAGTTCTAATACCCTAAATAAGCATCTATTTCATGCACATTTAATTGATTTCCAGCATTGCCAGTGTGGACATCCTGTAGAAGATGCATACCACTTCTTTTTTGTCTGTAATAACTGTATATGCGGACCAGAGAGTTGAACTCTTCCGTAAATTGAATGATTTCATTCCACTTGACTTGCAGCTAGTGTTATATGGTAGATTGGTTCCAGCAAGATTTTTTTTTTTTTTTTTTTTTTTTTTTTTTTTTTTTTTTTTTTTTTTTTTTTTTTTTTTTTTTTTTTTTTTTTTTTTTTTTTTTTTTTTTTTTTTTTTTTTTTTTTTTTTTTTTTTTTTTTTTTTTTTTTTTTTTTTTTTTTTTTTTTTTTTTTTTTTTTTTTTTTTTTTTTTTTTTTTTTTTTTTTTTTTTTTTTTTTTTTTTTTTTTTTTTTTTTTTTTTTTTTTTTTTTTTTTTTTTTTTTTTTTTTTTTTTTTTTTTTTTTTTTTTTATTTGTTTATTTTCAAAGTATTTTTCACATTACAGCAAGATAATGAACAAATAGTAATACAAACAGATTTTGAATATCATTTTTGCACTCCCAACAGGTTCACAAATTAGACTAATTTTATACTAAGTATTTTATTCCAGCTGACTCGGTAATACAATAATATTTAGTTGACCAGCTGTGTAACATTCTTTTTATAGTAATCTAATATGTGAAAATGAAACTATACCACGTGGCTGGTCTTTCTGTGTGCAGACAGACTAGTGGAGACGAAAAAACCAGCAAGCGACGAATGATTTATAGCACGAGATGTGATGAACATTAGAACACAACAGACAGTGATTATGAACGAATAGTGAATAGATTATCGCTAGTTCCATTTGCATTGAGAAAGAGCTAGCAGTCACATATAGTCAGAGTTTCAATTTTACACATTTTAGTACAAAATCTAGTTCAAAAGTCATCTCTCTCTCTCTCTCTCTCTTTCTCTAAAATATAAAATTATACAGTATTACCACGGAATTAGTTATCTAAGTCCGTGGTATTACAGTTTCGCTCAGATGACATCGTTGTAATATAAGCTAACTAGTAGCTTGTGGTGATGTATGATATTCTTTTCTTCTAATGTATACTGTACACACGCGCACTAGTTTGACTTCTGGTTCCTATATAGCTATTTACAGTTATAGGTTCATTTTTTTATCTGGTAGGGTTGGATGTACTTTTGTTTAAAAGCGTAAAACTTAGATCCTATCTGTAATTACAGGTAAGATAAGGGAGGGGGGGGGGGGGGGGGAGAAAGAAAATGCTTCTTTATAAAAAATCTTACCTAAAGACGTTTCTTTAATCTAAAGTAACGTTCTTTAAACTCGAAATGAACTCTGGTCATTATAAAAGATACTTATGTAATTCTATCGTTATATTGGGGATGGAATAAAATCATGATAAAACATCCGGATTCTTCTTACCGGCCTCCATGTCACTGGTTATATGACGACGAGAATTGAGCGAGACTTCGATTGCCATCTTTTGCGAAGTTTTGTCAGGACGAAAACACTGGCATTTACGCTGCCAATATGTCAGAAACATACGGTAATGCTGCATGTCATGACTTTTTCTCCTACTTCCCTACCTCATATATGCTTGCACTGTCAAAATAGGTCACGTACACAAAGATCTGTAGTTAATGGCTTGTCAAATTGAGGCCGTCTGCTGTCGATTGTCCCTCCCACAGTCTCACAATTTTCAGTTGGACACGGAAGTCGTTTGTTTTTATCGTGCTGAGATCAATATAACTCATCATATGGTCTTCTACTTATTTGAATGCAAGTGTAATATCTGCTGAAATAGTAACTGATTATATATAGCGAGAAATAGTCAATGAATTTGGCATCTGTAGGATGGACACGATCAGCTGACTTGTCATATGATTGATTTTGGCAGATATTCAGTGCTGTAATGTAACTGTTATACGTAACATATCGTCACCATTCTTTCTCTAGCATTACGGAAAATTTGTGTGGTGACACTTGTTGCCTGATATCCTTTAATACTTCTAATTTCTTACCCTAAAGAGTAACATAACACTTTCTGTCATAATAATTGTTTTCAAGTTAACAACATAAATTCGATCCTTCAATCAACACATTAATTCCTTCGATCAACACACGTACGTGTAACGGAACTGGACTGGGTCGATTGTCGTCGACCGTGTAACTCAATTTGGAAGATTGTACGTCTAGAGTTAAGAGGGTCTCTGGTTCGAACCCCGGTCTGGCCATGCAATTTCTCTTTCTCCATGCAGTTACAAAATTGGTGAGCTTGTCAACCACTGTTTCTATCAGTGGGTGAATGCTTAGCTAGGGAATACCCAAGTCTGGCTTGTAAATAGTTGTGTCTTCGTGGGTGAAGACTTGGTAAAAAAGGGGGAAATGTAAAGGAACTGTACTGGGTTGATCCTTGGCACCTGAGTGAGGTAGCTATATAGCTCAATTGGTAGAGTGTCCGTCTAGAGTTTGGAAGGTCCCTGCAGGTTCGAACCCATGTCTGGCAATGCATTTTTAGCTCTTTCCTGTAACAAATGGTGTCCGTGACCTTCCCTGTGGAGACAGGGAGCTTGAGTTAGAACCTTGCTTGTGGTGTTCGATGGCAAACACATTTAATTATAAGAAAGGTGGATAGTGTAGTAGCTTTTAATTGTACATAGGATTACAGTCTCCTTCTAGCTTTGCGTTCAAGGGAATTTCCCTTTAGCTCAATGGTAGTGTATCTGATCATTTTAGGAAGTCTTGGATTGTGGGTTCGATCCCTGGTGGAATCACATACACTACTCTTTTTCCTGCTTCACACAAAACAGTAAAATTGTCCTCATGTATATGGAAATAATTAACACCTTTTGTGTTAACGATTATGACATATATCATCTTCACATAGAAGCAATAGCTGTATATATGCTATACTGAATCTATTAACTTCTAATACCAGAAAATCTAAATGCATATAGCTCTAAATTCAACTTATGAGTAGCCTCTGTAACCATGTTTGCTAACGCCTGCAATCCTTTTACTGTGTGCAAAGCATGAGATTTAGACCACCCGCTCTCCCAAGAATTTTGACGCAGTCACCTGAGGTTGCGGAAAATGAGTGATGGCTGATAGGGTTAATTAGTTGCCAAGTGGTTACAGTGTCTGACCATCTATAATCACTAGCCGTCAATTGCTGGGTGGTTTTTCCTTCATCCTTATAATTAAATGACTATTTATAGCTGTTAATAAGACAGAAAGTACAAACAAACAATAAAAAGTTTGTTCCCTTTGTAAATTTAATCAGAGTGTAGTTTTCAAATAACAGCTAGCTATCACAAAACTTGGGAAGTCAACATAGTCAAAAGTGATGAAATCTTTCACATTTGCATTTGATAAATGTTTTAAGTTTCCTGTACAGCTGCAGTAGGCATATTTTGATTAGAACACATCCTGTCCTCATTAATTGAATAGTTTGAGGTGCCTGATCGTGTCCCTGTGGTTCTTTTTTCCTGAGCCAGACAAGTTTTTCCTTCCTTCTGAGTCAACATTAATGTTAAAAGTATTTCTATAATCATTCCCTGAACATTTTCTCATCATTTGCCGATCTATTTTTTGTTTAAAAAACATTGACAGGCCAAATTGCTGGCTTTTACATGCTGAAATTACAGTTTGCTGCGTATTATTTTCACACTAAAGTCTATCTCTACAGAATGTTTATAAGTTTAGTTGGCAAGAATTTGTTTATGTCCAGAACTTGATCAAATGTATTATAGACATGTTAATAATATTTATACCAACAGGTAGCCTCAAGCAAGAGCCAACAGGTGCACTTGCAAGCATAAGAGAGTTGTTGATATATAATCTGTAAATATATGCATGCGCACATAAAACTATAACACTTAATTAATTGGCTCCTTTAATAGGGATATTATACTTTATAATGCTTCATTTAAGCTGATGTTGAAGTAGAAGATAATCTGACTTCTTTATTGCTTCTTTTTCAGATTTCCTCTTTAAATTTCTGGTGATTGGCAGTGCTGGAGCTGGAAAGTCCTGTATTCTTCATCAATTTATAGAAAACAAATGTGAGTTTCCATTTTCCTGGTTTTAGGAGAAACACAAATAATTCTTGTGTTAATATTCTTAATTATTATTAAATGTGAAATTGGAATTTTCGAGTTAATTTTGTTAATAATTTGTTTGATTGTATTGTTACGTCCTTGAACAACATCAGTAATTATTGTCATTTTGACTTTTATCAAACCATCTTTTCTGATGAACCTATCAAAGCATATTCATGTGTTTTTTCCTACCCAACAGTTAAGCAGGATTCCAACCACACAATAGGTGTAGAGTTTGGGAGCAAGGTTGTTAATGTTGGAGGGAAGTCGGTCAAACTTCAGATCTGGGACACTGCTGGCCAGGAAAGGTTCAGGTGGGCAATCCTTAGCATTATTATAAATAATGCCTTGCAAAGACAATGTTCATGTTTCCAGTAAACTGAGTGTAGATGTGTTATATATATTTTTTATTTTTTTTGTGTGCGACTCTGTCATTAGTTGGTTTTCCTGTAGCTAACAACATATGACAGAAATACACAGCAAATTGTGGTCCTTGTTATAACACAATTAAAGCACAGTGTGTGCTTTTCTGTGTATGTTAGATTGTAGCTACATTACCAGCACATTGATATGTTGATTAGCAGACAATATTCAACTTATACATGTAGCAATTGTAACACTTGCTCTGCTTGCAGCTACTAGCTAGGGACCCATAGACAATAAAGGTTTATAGGGTGTTTTAAAAATAAATCCATTGTCAGTGGCTGCAGTCCTGTCTGTTGCTGCCATGATAACACAAGGTGTGTGCACACTGGTATCAGATCTCATTTGGTGTAAGCCACTAGGGAATAGATTTCTCTTATTTTTCACAATGTCTCTTAATCATTAAGACTTTTTGATGGTATTAACAGATCTAGATGTTCTGTTGGATTAAAAGACATTCTGTTATATTTAGGTAGTTCTGTTGTATTAAGAGACGTTCGTTAGCATTAAGAGATATTTCGATGATACCTTTGGTAGAGCTTGTTTATACCTGTAGGCACCGAGCCAAAGTTAAGCTAGCAGCCAATCTTTTGATTGCTCATGGGCACGTTTCATGCTGCAATGGTCGCACAGCCTGGCTGGTTTTTATTAACCTGTGCTGGTCGCGAGCCGTATTTTAACACTGTCATGTTACATGCACATTTAGGAGGGTTGGTGATAAAACAGTATATGTTATGGGTTGTATAGGCCTACAACAGATTTGACACTACTGCAAACAAAGCACATAATAAACAGAATATTGTAATCCAACATTAAAGAAACAAGGTAATATGTACGACTTTAGAATGCTCGACAAGTTATTGCAAAATATCTACACAGAGAAAAATATCGTTTTTGCATTGTATCATGTGGATTATAAAAATTATTTCAGATCTGTGACCCGCAGTTACTACAGAGGAGCAGCAGGTGCCCTACTTGTCTATGACATCACAAGGTAAGTAAAGTTTGATGGCTGTCACTTAAACTTTTAGCAGGGGTAACTGAACCTGTCCACAAGTCCAACCAAGTTTATCTGTCATGTTGATTGTAACGAGATCAAAAGATCTTTTGTGACAAATAATGTATTAAATATCACTGTACAATTGTCTTGAACATATTAAGAGATACAAGCTTTTTATTCTTATTCACATTGGTCTATATATAGGTGATCCCAACTTTTGTTGTCAACTTTTAAAATTCTTTAAGTTGACATTAACATATACACCAACTATGCAGGCTTGGTTCAGAATAATGCTTGCTGGCAGCAATAGAACATATGTGTATTGTAATGATAGAGACACTGTAATGATAGAGACACTGTAATGATAGACACTGTAATGATAGAGATGCTGATCTAAACCGCTACTGTATACAATACAACAGTTTTGGTATTGATGTTTGATGTATGATATTGCTAGAAAATCAATAACTTACCGGTAAACTTTTTCATTACGGGTAAATTTATTTGCTTAAAATTATTAAGTGTCATTTATGAGAGCCCAGTTGATTTTCTTCAGTCTAAAGCAGCACTGTTGAGTGACCTGACATCTTTACTATATATAATAACTTAACACTTTTTCCTTGTAGCCGTGAAACATACAATGCCTTGACAAACTGGTTAACAGATGCAAGAACTTTAGCAAGTCCGAATATTGTGATAATCTTGGTGGGAAACAAGAAAGATTTGGAAGCTGAACGTGAAGTGACGTTTCTAGAAGCCAGCAGATTTGCTCAGGAAAATGGTAGGAACTTAAAGATAGCTTTTAAATTTCCTGTTGTCTTTTAGTGTCATCATTGATTAATTAAGTCTTTTTCCTCAAAGTTTACAAGACTTCATTCAACAGAGGCTGCTATATTTTTTCAATTGCAAGTAAAAATTAAAATAAATGTCTATGTATTAAGGGTTAAAAAATGAAAATATAAGCAAATTATGTAAAATCCCACTGAAATACATGCATGTAGACCTCCTCTTGTGAAATTGCATCATAATTCATCAATTTGCCGGTATTCAATATGCTGACTACCATTTCAATAATTTTGAGAAAGACTCTTTGCTCATTCTAGTAAACAATCTACAGTACAGTTTTTACGATTTTTGCATTTCAGATCTCATGTTTCTTGAAACAAGTGCCCTGACTGGAGAAAATATTGAAGAGACGTTTCTGAAATGTGCTAGATCAATATTAACTAAAATTGAATCTGGTAAGTACTGTACAGTGTAAATACTTAACCATACATTAGTTTGTCTGTTTTCAACCAACGTTCTTCTTCTTTCATGGATATTTTACAGGGAAACTGCTGTAATTTAAGTTAAAACTATTTTACAGATTGATACATGGGAAGGAGGGGAGGCACTTGTGGTACTTTCAAGGTTATATTTGATTATGATGATTCATAAAAATAATAAATGCATAAATAATATTTATTTAATGTCGTGTACATTTTCAACAACAAACATAAGCTTTAATTACAACTCCGCTAAGGGAACAAAGGTTGTTTTGGTGGTGGAGGAAAACCCTTTGGGAAAAACCAGTATGCCATCGAAAGGATAACAACAAACCGTATCAGACATCAATCTCTTTTTTCTGCCTCCGCTGGGGATCCAACAGAAATTCTTTGGAGAGTGAGCGGTCTGATGCTCACGCTTGATTGCAGTAATAATGACTGTGCACGTAACGTTGGCGATCACGGCTACCGAGGCACCCAATCAAAATTATTGATCAAAATAAAATTGAAATGTAAAACTTTTGAGACATTATACTAAAATTCAAAGCTGCAGATACAATTTTAAACCTATAACCAGGAACTGTTTGGGATTTTTGTCTTGCTGCCACGAAGTAGCGGAAGCAAGACTAAGGTGTTTTTTACTTTTTCCGGCGACGGCAGCTGTGACAACATTAAAGTATAAGTGCTAGACAACCAAACTTGGACCATAGATGCATCTTAGGTAGTATATCTCAACCCATGCATCAAATACTGGATGCCACCTACCTTTCATGGTCCATTGATTTTGTCAGCATCTCCATCAACATGAAGTTTGCATTTTAATTAGTTTCTTTGATATGTGTATGGATGGTCAAAGCGGGGCACAGGCGAGACATATCAATCCAAATGGCTTGTTGCTTGTTTGTCTACATGTTTCAGCCTGTTATGCAGCCATCATTGCCGCTTAGCAGGCCGAAACATGTGGACAGGTCCTGATGATGGTCGCATAGCAAGCCAAAACATGTGGACAGGTCCTGATGATGGCCGCTTAGCAGTCGGAAACATGTGGACAGGTCCTGACGATGGTCGCATAGCAGGCCAAAACATGTAGACAAACAAGTAAAAATCACAAAACGGTTTTTGAGGTGTTGAGCATTCTTTGTTTTTTCATTATGTTTATTAGTAAAGATCCGCCCCCGGAACTGCCCTAGAACGCTACCGCATTTTTCGAAACAGCGAGTGTTGGATCGCCTTATTTATTTTAAAAAATTCAAAGTAGTATAATCTTTACCATTTATCTCTTTTTGTTTTATTTTAGGTGAGCTTGATCCAGAGAGGATGGGATCTGGTATTCAGTACGGTGACACTTCACTGCGTCGATTACAAAAGGAACAACTACAGCAAAAGAAACCGGATTGTGGTTGCTGATTAAAGGAATGTTATAATTGCAAAACATTCATCATGTTTCATGGTGTATCATTGACATGCAAGGCAGGCAACCCAAGACAAGAGACGTTACTCAAGCTAAGGGACAACACTCAATTCAGCACTGGCAAGGCTGATGGAGAATGTTTTAACAAGCAGCTTTTGTTGGTAACCATTTAGTTTGAATGCAAGATGCTCGGTAATGCACCTCCTGACATTTTTGCCATGCATGTATATATACATACACTGCAGTGTAGACACATCCCTTACATCTGTGCACTGTCTAGGACCGTGTACTTCCTGTCAATGTAGAGTACGCTTCACGGCTCTCAACCTGCCCTCTGTAAGCTATAAAGTGCAATGTCTGAGATAAGTTGTCAGGAGAGTGCTATATATCTGTGCGGTATATTTATGCAGTGTGAAACACACATACCATAGGGTGTAGTGCTACACACTCGCAAAAAAAACAAAATGTGTGTTATGTTATAGATCCATGCTATATCTGGTATGTATGTGTAAAATTTGTTGGTGTTTAAGTTAATTTGTGTATATTAATTATAAAATCTCTTTCAAAGGGACATCTTTCTCTCCTTGTGCTGTTATAACAAACATATATGCTACCATACACTGCATAGTGTTACATAACGATAAAAAGGTTTTAGAGTTTCTTTCACAAAACAAAGTGAATGCTATGATACATTACAATGACAATAACACTTAAGAACAGTTATTGCTTCTCTTTGTCAGTGGTGTGAGACCAAGATCTTGACCCACATTTAAAAAAAATCCTGTGGTGGTGAAAAATTGGGATTTTTTGTTTATGCCATGCAAATGCAGAGCATCATATATTATCACACTGTTTGTCTGAACATCTGTTTACAGACCGTTTTCACTATAATCTACATGTATCCCAATTTTCAACTGAATCTGATGAGATTTGGTGTGTAGGATAAGAATCATATGAAGAATTGCATATCTTGAAATGGGAACACAGTGCTAAATTTTACAATAGCTTTTGGTCCATTCTTATTTGAATTCAGCACATTTGAACCCAAGTAACACAGCAAAGGGAAGCAATCCCTCTAAAGAATTCTGTAAACCAGTTAACAAAAACCGAAAAAAATGAAAATTCGAAAATGATATTCTTGTGACCTCGCAGTTCAAATATCATAAAGATTTGCAGTTAGTCGTCAGTGAAATGTATTTTCCTTCATCAATTAATATATTGTGGATGTATAATGCTCTCTGCTATATGATGCTTATTTTGGTATACATGTGTAAAATTTCATTTGGACATCTATGTACATGAACAACATGATTGGTGTATACCACCCCTTGATTGATATTTTACAAACCCAGATGCATACAGTACTAGTGCAACCTATTTACTTGTGGAAATGTTTGTTTTTAAGTCTGCCAAATGATAATTGATACTTCTGGAGAGAAGGATAGGTTTGCACTCCATCTGTCGGTCCATTTGTCAGTCTATGCTTCACATTTTCCGGGCATATTTATCAACAGCAGTGGTCGACACTAGCACCAGTCCACTAGTCCTGGACTAGTAGAGTTTAGCAAGGACTAGTGAATCGCCGAACCTAACCGGTCCTTTGGACTTGTAAACAAATATATTACTTATAGCTATATAATTTGATAGATTCATTATAAAATAAGAACATTCCTGTTGGAAAACTGCTTAAAATACTGATAAACTGATTTTTCTACATGAAAAACTTCAGCATGTGTTTATGGCAGTATTATTGTTTGTTTGTTTTATGTTCGAGATGTTTCCTTAAGGAAATTGTGGAGTAGTAGTTACATTGACATAGGACTAAGGACATAATCTGTTACACTAATCCTGTGGACTACCAAGCAAAAATATTTAGGAGTCTAAACCTGGTACAATTTCTAAATTTTGTATGGGAGTACCTCATGTGATGATTGGTGTCACATACTGAAAAAGGGGTCTTGTGTCCACTTATATACAGAGTTATGGCATTTTATCCAGGGCATATATCATATTACATGTTGTACATACTTTGCCTACGATTGCAAAATTTTGTATGAGAATACCTCTCGGAATGGCAGAGTGATGCATACTTAAATCTGAACTTGTGCCCAACCATAAACAGATTTATGATACAAAGTACTTTGTTCATTCTTTAACATCAAAGTTTGTCTGGAGATGGGAGGGGGGGGGGGGGGGGGGGGTATGGATTTCTCCCAATGCTCTATTACGAAACGACTGTGAAAAATATAAAGAATGCAAATCACTGGGATCAACGCTCACAATTTTCAACAAGGACTGGTGAATCGCCTTAAAAACATCGCTATCCAATAGTCTTTTTGGTTTGTAAAATAATCATGCTATCATAATGTTATGATTGTATAATGAATAGGTTGTTGTCAAATAATGTACGTTCCTTTAAAAATCCTGCTTAAAATACAGAAATATTGCATTTGAATTATCAAAATTTTGTATGACTTCACAATATTTGTAATTTAATATAATTTTTTTTTATGTCTCTCACTGTCAATTACTTTTCTATTTTATTTTGGGAATATCTCCCTGAGGAATCTTAGACTAATAATATAATTGTTGACATGGGGTTAGGAAATAATCTTTGAAGCAAAAAATAAACTCTAAACATATACCACAGGTTAAGTTTTGCTGTCACGAGAAATGTTTAGCTTTATGATAAAATCATAATAACTAGTTACTGATGTTCAGCATCACATGCAGGAGAAACCAGATTTTAGATTTGAATTTGTGCTCAACTTGAACTGGACGTTTATTCAGTTAATTGTGTGGTTTATAGGGTTGAAGACAATTTGGATTAGATATATACTGATATAAAATATCCATTTATGCTTATCATCATTGTTCAAAGATAGATATTTATGGTACCGGTAAATGTTAGTTACTATACATTTTTAATGTCCTGGACAATTGGTGGTCATAAAGTTAAGATAAAATAATCACTGGTATCAAGGGTTGCTGTTTTTTCCCCATTTGCAACCTTGGGAAATTTCTGTCCAAGAATATTTTGATCATCACTTTCCTGAACCGGTACTGAAGGGATTAAATCTGCTACAGTATCCTGTTATACTTTATAAAGTTTTTGAAGTATTTTCCCTTCAGTTGTGTATGCATGGCATTCTGTTTAAAAGAAAAACATCTTTTCCATTCAAGTTTGCTTTGATGTTCTTGTCTCATACATTAAAAATCAAATACTTTATTGTATATTTAAATTATACCTCAATATAATGTACATGTACTGTTAAAACTGGATTTGTTGACACTTTATGTAAAGGCCAACATCATGTAGCCCCACCGCAGAAGTTTTCAGAGATTTTACCTGAAAGAATTTTCACATGTAAAAATCCCCATAATGATGACCTTCAAACATTTTGACTGCCAGATTTAAGCCGTCGAGTGATATTGTAATTCTAATCTATAGCGATACATGTATCACACTACAACATTGGTGATACATGTGTATATATATATTGACAAGAAGATATTGTCAAAGAAACAAGAGATCTGAACCAGAATTTGAAATTAAAATCATCACATTTTTTTGCATATAATCAGTACATATGTATATTGCACACTTCTATGAAAATGCTACATTTTTGTACACATATTGATGGTGACAGTGTTATTAAAGTTACCGTGCCGCAATCTGTCGGAAAAACTGTGGTTTAAATTGAAGTAATAAAATTTCACAAATATTCCCTGGTAAGAATCATGTATGAGTTTATTCTTATGAAAGATTTCAAATTCCATTGACTTATATTTGTCTTGAGTATAAACGTGCACAGCCTTTTCACGACTGCCTCTTACATCTCACCAGGTGCAGGGTTGGTTATAGCCATGTTTACGTTATTATCATGCATAAGCGAATTCAAACCCTGAATGTGATATTAACAAAAAGTTAATAATAACTTTTGCAATGTATAAAAAGATAAGAAATACCATGTTTATCTTGCTGGTAAGAAAAAAGAGTGAAGGTTAGCAGCACGGTACTTTTAATAAATAGGTCTAACAGGAGATAAAAGGCGATTGTTGCAGCCATGTTGATGTTGAACTTCATAAGGATGCACTTTACGATAAACTACTTGCAGTTTGCGACTGATTACTTATTTTTGAGATTTTTGCAAAGATAACACTAACAGTAACAGATAAATTCCCCTTCTTTTATAATCTGGCTATATATTTCTGTACTCGTACATGTACATGTTTTACAATTCATGCAAAAATATACTGTTAATTTCGCAGGGCATAACTGATTTTCAATTCTGCATAAACTATCATAATAACGAAGTAATAAAGAGATGGTATGACTTTATTGTACTTCAACTTTACTTTCATACTGGTACAATGTACATGTATAATGTCCATTTTAAAGGATTGTTCTTAGTACCTGTATATATATACTACATGTAGCCTTGATGTGTTCTGCAATGGAATCTACGTAGGTATGTATATATATGTAGTTGACTGAAAGTCAGCTGAACAAATTCTCCCCGGGCTCACATTATAGCCATATAAAAAAGGCAGAAAACCATAGATACCATGATAGCTCATACAGGGACTTCTTGCATGCAGTACCTATAAGTTTGGCGATAATTCCTTGCAGTATAATAAGTTCACCCTATAGCCACAACCCCATACAGTCTTACAGTGTAGTTGGCAGTTGTTGATGCATGCAGTACTGACGAATATCCGAGTTTTAAAACATACCAATCTTGTAGTTCATTATATATTGTATATGTAGTTTTCATAAATATATCATGAAAAGTGCTTTTAGTGATATCATAATTGGAGAATACTATATATTATTATATGGCTGTCATTATAGAACTGTTGAACGAGTGTGTACAATATATTAGTGGAGAAATTTGTATAAGTACCTTTGGTTGTGATAGGACATTGCACATGTCTATTTCATGCATTGTTATTTGCACTGAATGTAATCAAACTATGTAGGGCTCGTAACTGTTGTTTTACAACGGTTTTAACATTAGCCATAAACAATCTTACAAAAACAATGTGATCACAATCTTGCTCCATTTTATAACGTGTTTGTCACCTGTTGTTGATGCCTATATGTAATCTTTCCGTCGCGAAGCCAAGCTGTGTCCATAGTAATTGAATCACCATCAGACTCGAGTTGGAAAACATCAAACTTCTAAAAAAGATGAAAGGTCGAGCAAAGGTCAATGAAACGTGTATATTCAAGACTCGCAAGATCTGATCCAGCCACCAGCTAGAATTCCGGGAAAATAATTTCATTTTATCTATTTCAAAGAGTTCGGATGATAAAGATGTTTCCGCAATCCCAGCGCCAAGGGGACTTTAGCTGGAAAAAATAAATAAAATGTGACAGGGTTTACTTTGTGCAGTGTCATCAAATTTCACGGGGATGGGGGAGGGGCATTTCACAAACAAAATGGAGCACAGAGAAAGGTGATGTTTTTACTAGATTGGGCCATATAATATGTGATATTATAGGTGCCATGTAGTGCATCATTTAAAACTGGTCCATGTATATTGTGAGTGGATCATATATCAAGCCTAATATAATAATGTGTGTATCAATTTGTAGTGATAGGATCGAAACATTTCTGTGACATGCACCATGAAGTGGTGTATAAAAAATATACCGTAGAATGTGTTTTGGGCTTAATGAGGAAGGTTTCTTGCAAGATATCTTCACCACTGTTGGGACCAAATTTGGTAAAGGATAACTATGCGGTTGGTTGGGAGGACAAGCTTTAATTAGATTAAAGTTAATAATTTGTCATAAAGCTTGTTGTACCAATCCAACTAGCATTGTAACTATGTTTAAATACATGTAAGAGTAATTCCCATGACCCAGTTTAAATGTGTACACTCTCTGTCATATCATAAGAGGAAATCTGTTCATACCTACTCTTTATTAGCCTTGTGGCGGAAAACTGTTGGTATCATCATGTACATGTCTGTAATTCACTTTACATCCAGGGTACCTGTTTATTATAATGTATACATTCATATATCTTGTTAATATCTTAAAAGGCCCTCAAACCTTTAGCTTGCTAGTTTAAAATCATGAGAAATAATTTAAATTGTGTCGCTGTATCCTAAAAATCATCCGTTCTTTGTCATATATTTTGAGTTATCTCCCTTTGAATGATTCTGGCATGGTTTCTTTATATTTATATTTAGCAAAGAGGTGTCTTTTTTAAGGTGAAATTATAATGATATAGCATTAGGTATATAATGCAAGCTAAAATATGATATGAGTAATTACACTTTCTGTTTAAATATGACCATAATTTTTCATTGCGAATTGCATGAACTCATTCACCCCTGAAAATTTATAATGAACTATTCCAACCTTTGAATTGGAAGAGTTCAAATGTGTAATCAGGGGTGAATGAGTTAAGGAAAAACTAATATATAGGTTCTAGTAATTCAAGTATAAGTAGGTAGGGATAAATTAATGGATGACTAGACATCTTACTACAGTGTAATACCTGTCACTTGTAATAGACTATATCATGGTGCAAGGTTCAGTAATACACATGTATCATTAATGTCATTTCGATGGGACATATTGATGTTACAAAACTCGGACCGTACTAGTGCCTAGATATATACAGTAGAGCGGTGACCCTAGATTATAGGTCCTATACGTGACATCAGCAAAGACGTCTACGTATATGCTAGAGCTGTGGTTTTTGAAGTGCTGTGATGAGCAGATCATGTATTGTAATCTTCTGACTGTCGAGAGACAATTTACATACTAATAGCAGTAATAGCTAGAAATGAGTAAAAGTGATCAAAACACAAAACACTTTGTTTAAGTTTTAAATAAGACAGATCATCCTCGATACTCCAGGGGTTACGCTAACTTACGCTCTCTGCACCCCTGGAATATGTCATAGCAAATTGAAGGCACAAAGATAGCTGTTTGATTGGTCCCGGGTAAAAAATCTGACCAATCGCTAGGCTGATACCTGTCCTTTGAAGATTTCAAAGGAAAGATGCCCGATTTCAAAGCCTGTCAATTTTTACCGTTACCTGACCGCGAGATTCTTTAGATGTATATTAACGGATCGAACTAGTCTTCTTTTCTCATCAACAAGGTGGCGCACACTGAGCCTTCAATTTTGCCAGGACATATTCCACGGTTGCAGAGAGCGAAAGCGAGCGTAACCCCTGGATATCGTTCATGAAGATAGATAGGCAATATTTCATAGGACCTGTACATGATATTTACTGTATTTTTTGTGTTTGGGTCATTCCTACTCATTCCTTGTAGTTATTAGAATGTCAAATGTCAGTGGCCTGGCCATTACTAGTGTAAATGGTGCATAAACAGATTGGCATTGTGGTGTTATCTATCTTTGAATCTGAATCAAGCTAAAGAAATGAGTGTAGAAAGAAGTATGAATTAGGCCTAGCCTTTCAGTTTTTTGTTGGTTTAATATTTCATTTATTATATTATTTATTTTTTCCACCCTAATAAATCTCAAAATACTAGTATGTAGTTGATTAAAAATATGAAACAGAAATACTGATTTCATGCTGTTCATGTTTATTCGTTAAGGTGTATTGTGGACAAGACAGTCTTTTGGTTGTCTTGTTTTACGTATATATATATATACTACCAGCTGGGATATAGTCGGATGGTGTAACACTATAGCACCAACATTGTCGAATGTTATATATTATTATATTACCTGTGCTTTTAATTGATAAATTTGTATGTCACTTTTATTAGATTTAACTAAATAATGTAAAAATACAAATTTTAAAATCGGAGGGAAAATAATATGAATAATTTCAAAGTTTGAGAAAAGATCCGAGTTCCATTCGTTTATTCTCATCACGAATAAAGATTTTGAACTTTATTTCAGAGTTTTGTGATATCATCCTTTTTAAACATCAACAAATCAAAACATTAAAGAAAGTGGATTTTATTTTGAATTTGGATTTTGTTAACTAACCTATCAATCTTCTCTGGGCTTGTTTTTAGGAACAAAAGTGGAGAAGTTTGATTTGGTACAGAGGATGATACCTCGTCTAATTCAAGTGTCATATTCTGTTTAATTAGAAGCTCTTCCTGTGAGCATGTTTTAGGGTGATAGCTGTGAGATTGTTGGTTTATGCTATAATCTAAATATTAGATCCTCTAGTCAAGCTTAAATAAAGGAATTATTTTCTTTGGTCTTTAATGTGAACATACACCCTAAATTTGTGTAGACTTCTTAACAAAAATCGTAAGTAATTTGTGATAATTCTTGTATGTAATATATATATATATCTTCATAAATAATGGAAAAATACACTAAATATTAGAAGTTAAAAAAGGAATCATATACTCTTTTACTGAATTCAAATTCAGAGCAGATTTTATATCATTTTTTTTTTCATTTTTTTATCATTTTTTCACCTTTGTTGTAGGCAACTCAGCATCTGAAACATTCCAATGAAATATTTAAGTAATTGAGAGTTGGTCCAGAAGGACGAATTGTTTTGACTTGCTTTGAAAGAAGTTTTTCTTTTTACATTTAATTTTCTCCTCGCTTTGTCACTCGTTTTTCTGATGAACATACAATGCAAAAGTTATAGTTTAAATTTGTTTATCATAACAATTTTTTTTTTCTGTCTTGTTTTTTTTAATTTGAACAAAAAATAAATTTTAAGTATTTCAACTAAAAATAATTATTGTTGGTATTTGCAACATATATGTGTTCTTTACACATCTCCATGTGCACGTGTATGCTGTATATGAGCTAAGATTACGAGTACAATACATTTGCAATAGGTGCTTCAATTAACTAAAAACAAAACTATTCTGTAAAGTTGTATTACGCACCATTATTTTGAAGATTATATCAAGCACAAATACTTAGGATGTTTTGAGTCTCACAGAATCATGATCGAGTGTGTTTGTCTTAACTGTCAGCACCTGTATTGTGTTTAAAATGTATTGTATTTGTTAGTACCTTCAACTAACCTTGTGTTGAATGGATCAAAGAATCTGTAAAAAGCATCATCTGTGAATGATAGAAATTACGACCAGTTGTCAAGCATATCATCCTAATAATATGTTTTTTTTTAAGCGTCTGTGAATTGTGAAGATAAAGTTGCCAGTGCTACAAGACACACAGACACACTGATACATCTGCATTATTTGTAATTTTAAATTACAAAAAAATAATTCAGAAAATAAATATATCAGCTAAAGTTTGTAGCAATACTATATATTGAATTACAGCAGTAATCAACTGTGGACAGTCGCTATACTTTACTTTGAACTTGTGTAGTGATTTCTCGGTTCATTCTCATTTAAACTAGTTCTTTTCTTTAAAAAAACCCCTTCATTTCTACCAGCTAATCAAATTTTGCAGCAGAATTTACTTGTGACAGGTGTTACAAGGAACAATGCTTCTGTCTAGCAAGATTTTTCAGTTACGAAATCAACCCTTGTATTTGATATTGTTTACCGTTGTTTTTCGTTGTTTTCTGCAGTATCTCTGACCAATTATGACTTACTGTAACTGGTTGTTCTGGAATCTCTCTGTTTCTTTGTATGTGAGAATGCCAATAGGTTTTATAAATTTGTTGACATCCTAACTTTTTATGTAGCCATCATGTCAAGAATTTCTGTAGAGATATTTGTACAATTAATGTATGCTTCATTGGTCATCGTGAATTGTTAGAAGTCCAATCTCATCAGAAATATTGATATATCAATGTATGAATTTATTGTACATCATTGTTTTTTTGTTTTTTTTATAAATAAACATAAATGTTACATATAATATTCATGCGTCTGTTTTTTCTTGCCTCATGGTCACTTGGTGTTATTCTGTATGATCAGGAAATGTTTGATTAAAAAATAAACAGTATCTGTGATCACAGATTTTCTTGATAAGTCAGCAGCATTTCCTGTTACCCAGTGTCCTGTTGTACTAACGTCAGCATACAGTAGTGTAGTGAAAAATGTAGGGGGGTAGATTGATGTGATTTATTACTAATTGGGGGTTTAATTGATGACTTTACTTGTGTGGTATGCTATTTCAAGTTCCTATCAAGGTGTATCAGCACATTGCCTACAAATATTAAGCGGTAGCAATCATCATAAGGTATTTCCATAAACATGTAAAATTGACAATTTTTTCATGCTTTTTGTGTGTCTTTATACCATAATGTAGTAAATGTTATATATATTAAGCTATAACAAGTATTAAACAAGTTACCACAACTTATATTAGTCACTTTTGTTGGTCCAGATGTTAGCGTGTGCGGGGGGGGGGAGGTCTTTATGAAGGAGGAAACTGGGGTTCCCAATGAAAACCAACGTGGTTGGGCAAGTGACACCATACCTTTTCATGTCCGATCAAGGAATCAAACCCCGGTCACCTTGGTGAAAGACGAGATCATTATCCACTCCGCCACCCGACCACCCAAAACCATATCAAATGTTGTGTAGTGTCACAATAGCAAATCAACTACTTTTGACCGTAATGTCATGGAACTTTTGGGGTTGTGTCTGTTTGTCATCACAATTCATGATTATATTTGTTTTATACATAAAAGTAAATTTTAAAAAAATCCCCTTTCTTCTATATAAATGGATAGATATTAACCAAATTTGGTCTAGAGTACCTTGAGCAAAGGGGATTCAATTTTAAACAGTGGGTGTGGCTCCCTCTTTTTGGTTGGGTGACAATGTATAGATCTTAACTTATATAATATGAAGCATCTTTGACCCTTTGACCAGGGAGTCCATTGTTGGGTAAAAGGTGAAGTAAAGCTTCCCTGAGGGCTGGAAACAGTCTGGGGGCAATTTTCTTGTTGAAATATTTGAAAGCCTACTTCCCTGAATAATAATAATAATAATTTGAGGTTCTTATATACCGCTTTATCACAACCTAGTTCGTAGGTCGTCTCAAAGCAGTTCACAAATTATTATCCCTGGTTATAGGGCCTTTGCAACCAGCCAATATCTCTCTCAACTCCCTGGGGAGCATACAGCCAGAGCTGCCACTTCGGCGCTATAGCTAACAGCTAGCATTAAACAATTCTAGCACTGCCCAACCACATACTCGTTTACAGCTGAGTAGACTGGAACAAGTGGAGTAAAGTATCTTGCTCAAAGATACAACACATACAGTGAGGTGGCTCGAACCCGCAACCCTTCGGGCACGAGCCCGGTGTCCTTCCAAAAGACTACTGTGCCTCCTCTGAACAGTTGATAATGTATCAAGCACATTTACTATAAGACATCCCTGAGAACAGAGATTCAAATGTATAAAAGGTTGCTCCTGAAAGAGCCAAAATGGATATACTTGCAATATTCATTGAGGTTAGTTTGCATTCATTGCTTAAACATCATCCAATTGAGCAATACAGGCCCTCTAGGCCTCTTGTCTTTCACATAATTATAAATGTAACAACATGGTTGTTGTATAACGATTTTATTGTACCATTAGTGATAGCATTTCAGTACAGTGTAGCTGCATTGTGAAGCACATAGTTATTATACAATTATCCTATATCATGCTTAACTACGTACACGTAACAAAAAATAAATAATCTTTCTATATTAAGTGGCAATAACATTCTATCATGTCTTCAAGGACTGGTATAAACTGCTAATATTTATGATCAAATTTAGCTGTACATGTACACGTAGCTTTACTTGCCGCACTGGCATATGAGTATTTATATGTATAAATACATATAGCATGTCACCTTAACCATACTTTCAATATATAAATTCCCTACCCCTTGTGAGAATTACATTTTACATTTGTCCAGCAAAAGGATAATGTAGGATGTATTTGTTTCCTTATATTACAGTCTAACCTGCCAAAAGCCAATATGACTATATCTGTAACGCTATTAGCTAGGATCTTTTATATTGGTATAATTGTTTAGAACTTATTTAAGTACTATCCCGAGTTGACAGGGATCAGATTAGACCGAGTTTACTTACAACTGCACTATAATTTAAGAGAAGAAATGACAGGCCAAAATATAAAGACCAGGATCCGAATTCAGTAGCAGGGGCAGGTTTACAAAGATTAGCCTGTAAATAAAAAATAACTCGNAAAAAAAAAAAAAACGGGGCCCCCCCCCCCCCCCCACCGAAAAAAATATACATGCTATGCAGTTCTTTGCATTTGTTCACCTCAAAGTTTTATAGTAGGCCTATATATGGTGAGTATATATATCATAAGTGGTTTCCTGCTCAACAAAACAATACATCATCTGCACTAACTTGTAGAGTACAATAAAATATCTTTTTGTTCATATACCATATTGTCTTTTAAACACTAGTGCAGTCCATAATAATATTTAATTCACCTAGGCACACTTATCTTTTTAATTTCATGCCTGGGGAACATGAGATATATATTCTTATAAATCTCCATATCATAAAAGGGGCAGTAAAACCTGGATCATAATGTTGTGATTTATAAAATAGCAAAAAAAATGCATTTTTGTTTGAGTCTTCACTTCCTGGATATCCTTTCTATTACAATGTACTTTTAATTTTCTTTTGTGTATTGTTTAAGTACTAGGCTATGAATAAAATAAATAAATATGGTATGTGGTTTTCTATGGCTTAAAATATCGACTGGCATTCATCTAATGAATTTTATTTTAACTATAGAAATATATAGGTCTATATGACACACATATACAGAACATATATAAACCATTTATACTCATTTAGTCATTCACAGCCAATGTCATGAATATTTTGCTTTTTTTCCTTAGAACAATTTACTGGATTTAATTTTTTTAATTTACGATCGACCCAGTCCAGTTCCGCTACATACCTCCCTCCTTAAACAAAGTCTTCGACCCCGAAGACACAGGAGACCCTATACCTGACCTTCTGTGGGTATATTTCTTTGGGCACCAAATTTAACAGGAGAGGAAAAATGCAAGGCCAGACCGGGGTTCGATCCTAGGACCCTCCGAACTCTAGACGGATGCTCTACCAATTGAGCTATCTGGTCGCTTACGATCAACCCAGTCCAGTTCCGCTACACAAGAATTATCTTTACTCTGATGTACTTGAGTGTTGACCTTTGAGTTAACCCCATCATGTCATAAACTTTCGGGGTATGTATGTACCTGAGAATGTTAAATAACTGTATGAAGTTAAATTACAAAATTTGAAGAGAAATGTTGGGGGTACCCGGTCGTACAAGCCATAAAATGACTTGAATATTGACCCCACATCAATGCCTCGACTTGAAGGTGTGAAATTAATATTGATGACATACCATGTAGTTCATGATAAACACATCTATGAAGTTTCATAAAACATTAATGTGATAAGAAATTATGGGCCTAGCAAGGTCTTGACAAATGCGCACACTTACATAAATGTACACGGTAACAAATACACACACACTAACAGACAGATGTACAAAGTGAATGCTAGATACCCCCTTACTTTAAAGGGGAAATATGATTTCGGTAAAGTGAAATACTACTGAATGGTATATATAAACAGTCAATTTCCATGTAACACAAACTTCCAACAGGACAAGAAGAAAAAACAGTTGATATCACAGACAGATTTGACTAATAATGCACATCATACATGTGTATAATGTGTTAAATGGCACACAATGTGTCCATGCAACTCCTTCACCTCAAATATTAACACGCTGTTTACCTGTAAAACTAGATTTTTGTATGTAAATCATTAAGTAGACTCACATCTAAAATACAAATTGCTGAAATCACAGTGTACAATGTACATGAACATATAAACTCATCCAATTATTAACAAAAAAAAGTTTATGAAAAAAATAAAAAATCAGTTTCTTCATCAGTTATGATCAGCTTAAATACAGCATGCAACTCATTTTTTCTGACAACTCTTACTAGCAGTATGTCTAATACCCTATAGAAAACAAAATATCATGGAAAACTTCAAACAAGCCCAAATGCACTTTTACACCGTTTCGGTATGTCACAGTTCTTGGCATACTCTGATGTTGGATGAGCAGGATATCTGAAGCCATATTCAGATTTCCAGAATGCCGCGTCACGCATCAGTTTGTCTCTGAATAACTGTTTCCTCTTCTTGGCTTCTTTAGCAGCCTTCACATTTGCATCTTTGCGTCTTATTGAATCCTCCACTAGTTTCTTGTGAGCTTTTATTGCTGCGGGATATACCTACGAACATAAGAAAATACATGTAGTGCAATTGAGTACCCTGAGGGAACATGTCGTTAAAAAAACCTGTTTATAATTCTCTATACCATTATCAGTTATAGTATTTCACAATTTGGAAATTAAACAGTGCATCCTGCGCCTCCTCCTTTTGAAATTTCAGGTTGGTTTAATGAAAATCTTATATCCTTGTAAACCATATGATGAGATTTAGTTTGATAAAAATCTGACACTTTCATTTGAAGTTGACTAACTTTTTTAAATGACAAATAAATTGGGTTAAGCATCACAATACATTCCTTCTGTATTGGAATATATTGTGATACACTCCAGCTGTATTGGAATATATTGGTTACACTCCAGCTGTATTGGAATATATTGTGATACACTCCAGCTGTATTGGAATATATTGTGATACACTAGTACTCCAGCTGTATTGGAAGTTTTCAACAAAGGGCCGCACTCCATAAAAAAAAGGGTTGGGAAAAATATACCTTGATGCACAACCATAACTTAAGAAGGAGTGTGTCCAAACAAAATGTTTCAGGATTTTTTCAACAAATGGCCATTACTTCATAAAAAAAGGTCAGAATGAAAAAGTAATACCTGGATGCACAACTACAGGTGGTAGTTACATGTATGATATCTGGAAAGTTTTGTTGAAATTGGTCCATTACTTTAGAAGTTGTCCAGATAGACAGACAAGCTGATTCCAGTATTCCCCCCTAATTTCGTTGCGGGGGGTATAATAACCAAATAATTGGACATTATTATCTGGCTTAAACCTACAAATTATCTATCAATGAGACACTAATGAAAACAATGTTCAGACTGACTGTTTAGTATCGCACTAATTAATATACATTAATTATAAAAATGTATTGATAAGAACATTAGCTAATTATAAACATACTATGTATTAATAACAGGTCACTCAATCGGAAGATTTTTCGAGTAATCCATTAATATAATTTGTCCGGTTTGACAACCCTAGTAAATACATATATTGTATGACTCACATCTGTAGAGGCAAGAACATTATGGCTTCTTTGTGTTCCTGTCAACCTCTCCGAGTCGCCAGATCCGTACGGCAGGAATGGTGGTCTCGGTTTTGCTCGCTCGAGCTGTCTGGTGGAGGGGGCGGATTTTGGACGGGCACCTGATGCTGACTTACTCACTCGAGGTTGCACTGGAATATTCGCTTTGTTGACAAATGTTTTATCATCAACTTTCTTTGGTTGGAGTTTAAAACTGGATTTTTCTGGAAAATAATAAATGACAATGGCTTAAATTTTTCTACTGAAATTAGTCTTGCATGTTATATTATATATAGGTTACTCTACATGTACAAAATATTCCACACTAAATGAACAGTCAAATAAAGAATCCATACAGCACTGTAAGTACATTTATGTATATACATGTTCATGAGTTAAAGGTAATGCGCAGTTACAATAGAAAGTATGGAAAGCACTATTGTTGTAGCAATACACTGCACTAGAGTTTCAAACCAAGTAAACTTGTAAATCATTTCAAGTAAAAATAGTGTGGTTGCCAAAAAATCTTCTTGCATCATGATGTATTGTGAAACATATATATCTTTGAACATTACAACTATCACTAGAGATCTAGAATGTTTAACAAGTCAATGATAAGCATGTTTTCTCAAATTATCAATGATTGAAACGAAAATAAATTGAAAAACATTTACCAAAATGGATAAAATGTTGTGAATTGTTTTTAACTACATCGCCATTGGCAGTAATGTGGTTTGAATACAGATTACTACAAAACTTTAGAGTAAAACTGTTTTCATGTCTTTTTCTGGTGTCAAACCAACACTGATCATTGAAAATCCTGATTGATTAGTCATATTTGGGGGTAAAATGGCTGATCGTGAATGGTAATCTGAATAACATTTATTTCATTATAAACTATTCAATTATAGCTTACATTATATTATGTACAGTGTCAGATCAAGTGCCTCCCACTACAACTACTGTGAGATATACAATGTATACTTCGGAATGAGTTTGATATGAATAATAAACGCAAAGCTTGTTTTGAATACAAATGGTACTTGAAAACTTATTTTTTGAGCTTTCGAAAACATATTACCCATCTCTCTGACTGCTTGCAGTATTATAGAGTGCTTTTTGAGAAATGTGTATGATTTCTGACAGCTGAATTCAATTTACTGACGCTGCACATTGTACATCAATGAATTGTTTTCAGTGGTTTAGACCAGAGTCAAGACGTCGGCCATTTGCACTCTTTGCTTGACAAAAGGAAACAGATGTTTTTGAAAGCTTGCAAAATAAGTCTTCAATTACTGTTTGTGTTCAAAACAAACTTAGCATTTACAATGTATACTTGTTTTCAAGTTTTTAAGGAAACACACAAATATAAATTCTATATAACAATGTTAAATGTAGCATTACCATGCCCCTTTTCCTGACTTGCTATCTGGGAACCACCTTTTGTTTTTTGTCTGGGTACATCAATGTTTTCTTTACATGTGTACTTGACAAGTTTTTCCTTTGCTGCTTTCCGGAGTTGCCCTTCATCTTTTGACAGACTCTGCATCTCTACATCCCCTCTATTTCCTTTGGTAGATTCTGTAATTTTCCCTTCCTGTGTACTTGTCTTTTCTTCAGATTTACAAACAGATTCCTTTGGTTGTTTATCCAAGGCAGGAAGAACATCACTTGTTGGTTCTGCTATCTTCATTTCTTTTACAGCTGATGAGTTTTCTTCTTTCAAAATTTCTTTCTCTGCCGTTTCATTGTTGTTGCTGTCAGGGTCACCCCATGCGATCGATGTATGAGCGTATTCTAGTTCCCGGCGCTGACTTCGGTAGGTTAAGTTGTCGTAATATGTGGGTATGTTTTTAACAAGACTTTGGATCTTGAATTCTCTTCCATATTCTGATCTTTTGAAGACCATTTTGCAGCCAGGTCACTGCACCTTAAAAGAAATGAAGATATATTTTGTCAATTCAAATTAAATATAGTTGTATACTGCAACCTGATGGTCACTAATCCAAATTACATTGTTACATGTAAGTGCTGAATGGTCGTACTGAATTACTGATTGGTCTAAGCAGACTTCGACAGGTGTGATAAAACTAAAGAACTATACTAGCCACCAGTACATGTGATGATTTAAAAAAGAAAAAAATCTTTCCTTTAAATTTGTACTTAATTTTTTCTAATGCCAAAAAAATATATGTTTATACAGTATCCTGAAGAACCTTAGATTTTCCTGCCGATCCTAGATATTTTATCACCTACTAAGATTAATTTATTAGCAAGGTGTAGAGGTCTCAAAACCACTCATTAAAATGTACTTTCTTCCTGTTATGGAGTATGATCCTTTTCTTGACAAATTAATAGCCATTGTAATGTGTGGAAATGTATTGTAAAATTTGATATAAAGTATACTATTAATCCATGAATATAAAAATCAATTAAAATAGAAGTATATTTGCCTATTTTTTCCTGGCATCTTAATTGACGGACATGCCAGTCATTGTTTAAAGTTTTATTGGTCTATGTCAAATTTACACTGTTTTTGGTGAAAAACCCCCTTACTAACCACTCTGACACCAGACTCAGCCATTTTGACAGATACAGTAGATGTCTGGTGTCAAAATGTCTGATTCTGTACGTTGTCAGGGCCAGAGTAAACGATTCTGTTGTCAGGGCCAGAGTAAACTCGGGGCAATGCCTCTGGTATGTAAATATGTGTATTTTCATATATAAATTTACATACGACGCAGATGCCTGTGCAGAAATACTGCGAGTGTTCGCAATCGACATTGATCACGAATTTCCACTTTATTTATTAAGGAATGATATCTTTATTACTTTCACTGTATTGCAGAATACATTTAAGATATCTGGACAAAATATCACAAGATAAAAAATAATAAAGTAAGTGCAGTTTTCGACCAGGATTAGCCACTTTGTCGATCTGTTTGAACTTGTATCAGATGTTTCGCGCTTTGACACCTTCGCACTGGTGTTGTGTTGACGGCGTCGTATAACAAGATCTTGCACTGTAACATGATACATTCGATACTGTGTGAACTTGCATTGCTCGAATAGTTCAACTTTTCATTAACAAATTGTAACACACAAATATGTTGCTACTTACCGCTGTCATTGGTAGGTGAGAGCAGTTCAAATGAAAACAAAACTTACAAATCGTCGTCAAGAAATTTAAAGTGCTCAAGGTAACACGTCCGTTTTTGTCAAGCACAAAACTGATCCGATAATAAGGAGATTCTATAACTTTGAGCGGTGTCGGATAAGGATAAAACGGATATAATATATATTTATTTGGGACTGTTCGGAGAAATGTAAATATTTTGTCCGTGTTATCCATTAAAAATAAGAAGAGCTTCTAAATACTTTTCAATCCGTATAAAAACATGAAATACCCTCGGGTTACCGGTTTCCGCGCACTTAAGAAGCATCCGCGATTTCGTACTCATATCGGCAGAAAACTGTTGAAATTACGGATGACTGTCATAAACATGTATACAATCTACTAATGGAAACAAAAAACTAGCAACATGACTGTATTTAAGAAAAATCAGAACAAACAATTTTTAACAAATTTCTCCCGTCGGTAGTAGCCGTCATATGTTTCCGTGTGTCTACTTTGATTTAGGGTTCAAAGAAAGATAACTCGAATGCACTAAAAAGAAATTCTCTACAGTGACCTGCAAGAACAAAAGCTTCGTTTGGAATAAAAAAATATCTTTGATCGTCAAATTAATTATCAAAACATTTTTTTTTAAATTTCACATTTTTAATCGATTTTTCAAGATGTCAGATTGAACGAATTCATGTAATTTTACAAATTTATCTATTATATTTATTTAGTTATAAAACATAATCGGTTATTATTTTTTTCTGCAGTTTTATATCGGTTTTGGTTGATGGTAAGTTATTTCTCATTTTGTTCTGTTTAAAATTGGTGAAAATTGGAAGTTCATTGCATTACAAGGTTTACGTTTCATTGAAAACACTGTTTATCGATAAAAGAATGTCTCCTTTGTCCTTCGAAAGTGGAAAAAAATCGGCGAGGAGATGTGGCCTCATTTGCATACGACATTTTCGTACGTTTGTCAGACTACAAAAAAGACCGGTTCATGAATGAAATATATCATCGTTTTTCAGGTATGGGTTCATTTTGAGCAAAACTGCATATTTTTCCTTTTTTTTAATCGGTGATTATTTCTTATATTTTCCGGACGAACTTCCGGTATTTTTTGAGTCAGTTTACAGACGATGGCCAAACGTCTGAAATATCCTTGTTTTGTGTCCAGCAGGTCAAGTAGTTACGAGATATAGCTTGATAAAATGGTTGCGCGGAAATACATAACGCGCGAAAACTGGTGACTAGACGATATATAACTACGTGCTCACTCGGTATTTCCAAGATTTTTAACGTTAATTAAAAAATGCTAAACGTTATCTAAGTCCCTTATTAAAAGTTTTATACTGAAGTAAACAACCTTATCAAAATATACTTGTTAACGTTTTATGTATGTATTTATCAGGGACAAAGTTTTAAGCCTTTATATCAATAACAACAATAACAAATTTAACTTAAATAATGACATCCTCGAGGATGAAATAAAGATGATATAAACACATTTCAATTTTCTAATATACCCTGGTTTATTGGTTCATTAATTTAGTCAGGGATGTGTAGTAGACGTAGGTGCATCATATGCCATGTAGTAAGCTTATATTTATATATAGGTCCAATTAAAATAGAAATGTACAATTTGAAACAAAAATATCACAGGCATGTATAATTCACAAGTAAGCAGAACAAATGCATATAATACAGTTTACTTAGTGTGTACAGGGTACAGTAATAACAGACCTGGCAATATTTCTTAATTAAAAGTATTATGGATATTACTGTAAAACGTTTCATGGCATTAAAAATATACTTATGATTGCTAGTATAAAGGGAGTTTTTAGTTGAAACTCGGTTCAAACTTGTTTTGGTGATTTCCCCAGTATTTGTTGTTTAACCTGGTTTTAAGGGAAAACCGAGACGGGGCATTTACCCCATTCAAGTTATTTACAAATCTAAACTTAAAAAGAATGGGCACAATATTGTTTGCTTCTACACCTTACTTTTTTCTAGTCTCTTAATTGTTATGTTCTCTGGTAGCCCGAGTTTCCTATGGCCCCGACACCAGACTTAGACATTTTGACAGATCACGGGAAAATGTCTCAGTCTGGTGTCGGGGCCAGAGGAAACTCGGGTTAGTACTCTGGTTGTTCTTATAGCATTATGAAATAGGAAATTTTCTTTGATATTATATCTAGCAGATTCACTTATTTGAAAACTGGCGTCATGTCTGACCTAAATGTCCTGTTCTCCATAGTGGGTATCCATTAAGCATTGAGTCTTTAGAGTTATGTTAGGTCTTTGATACCAGCGACCAGTTCAGTGGTCCTTTCTTGTCATTTTCTATAGTTATTTGATCCTTTATCAGCAGCATGCATGGGTGTCCAGACTACTACAGAAATTCCCTAAAGCCGACGCTTTTAAGGCAACCTTATCAATGTAGATCTTTTACAGCTCCGTCGAAAATAGATTGTGTGTCTAATAATTCTCTGGAGCAGTTTACCTGATGTTGATGTAATACTTATGGGCCTATATATTTTCCGACCTTTTTTTTTTTTTTTTTTTAGAAAATTGGTGTAAAATTTGCTTGCTTCCATGATTTTAACAGACAATTTTCTGCCACTGATAGTTTTAAAGACCTATTGCCTTTAGTTGATCCACATTTTCTTTTAGGAATTTAGGATGGATGTAATCTGGACCAGCCGCTTTGCTTCCCTTTAATTTACCTATAGATTTAAACGCTTTTTAGCTCACCTGGCCCGAAGGGCCAATTGAGCGTATGCCGTGGTACGGCGTCCGTCTGTCGTCCGTTCGGCGTCAACATTTTACTTTAAACAACTTCTTCTGAATAACCAAGAGGCCCTGACTGATGATATTTGGCCAGTAGCATGCTGGGATAAAGGGCTACCAAGTTTATTCAAATGAATGACCTTTGTCTATTTTCAAGGTCACAGGGGTCAAATATAATAAATTCTTTCAACAGCTTCTTCTGAATAACCAGAAGGCCCAGGGTGATAATATTTGGCCAGGGACATACTGGGTTAAAAGGCTACCAAGTTTGTTAAAATGCACGACCTTGATTTATATTCAAGGTCACAGGGGGTCAAATATGTTTTAGACTTTAAAACAACTTCTCCTGAGTAACCAGAAGACATAGGGTGTTGATTTTTGGCCTGTATCATGCTGGGGTGAAGGGTAACCAAGTTTATTTGAATGAATGACCTTCACCCATTTTCAAGGTCACAGGGGTTAAACATGTTGAAATCTTTTAATACACTGTAGATTCTTTTGAATCAAGCACTAATATTTTGCCTGTAGCTATATTTTAGTCCTCTTTTAAAATTACAAGTGTGAGATTACTAGGTGAGCGATTCAGGCCCATTGGGCCTCTTGTTCCTCAGTGATCTCTACACTACATGAACTTATTTTGATATTTGGGGAGTGAACCTGGGATGGAGGTAGTGGTTCTTGCCCCTCGACCACGAAAACACTAGCGAAGAGGTTGTCCAGTACCTCTACCTTTTCTAGGCCATTTTAGTGAGTTCACCATTTTCTTTGTCAAGTTGTGTTATCTTCTCTTTCCGACGTATTTTCCGTTTTAATATTTTCTCATTTTTGTAGGTGTTGTAAGGAATTGCTTTTGCAGTTATATTCTTTGCGTTTTGGTAGGATTTGACGTTTGAGGCCTATTTACTGTGTACATATATATATTCCATTTTCTCCATTTGATTTTAACTGCCTTGTAGAGTATTTCTGTATGATATCAATGGTCCGTCCCTTTTCCCGTTCGTCCTTTATACTCACTGGAGTATTTTGCTTAACAACTTTGGATACAATTTGAGTAAAGAAATTCCAGGATTCGGTTAGATCAATATCATTCATGATATCACACTTTATAATGGATAGTTCCTTCTTAATTGCTGTGTAGTCAGTTTAGGTAATTTAGACTCTGCTTATCTATCCTCGATATCCAGGGGTTACTCTCACTTTCGCTCTCTGCACATGTCATACATGTAGCAAAATTGAAGGCACGAAGATAGCTGGTTGATTGGTCTCAGGTAAAAAAACAACACCTGACCAATCGCCAGGCTGATACCTGTCCTTTGAAGATTACAAAGGTGAGAGCCGACTTCAAAGCCTATAAGTTTTTACCGTTATGTGACCGCGAAAATCTTTTGATGTAAATCAAAGGATCAAACTAGCCTTCTTGTCTCATCAACAAGGTGGCGCACACTGAGCCTTCAATAGTATATGCGTAACCCCTGGATATCGAGGATGCTGTTTATCGCCAACATTTTTTTTAATTTTTTTTTACCTATTCAATTTTTTTTATTTNGCAATCGTTAATACACAAGCTTTTATCGTTATATAATGCTTTGGGGGGATTGCAAACCTTTCTTTATAGTATAATGATAATTGTTCACGTTATTTTGTAAGAGAAGCCATTTTTCCACTTTATTATGGAAGGCTATATTATTTATGCAGTTTTTATGCTTATTTATCAAGATCTTATGAGATTTAAGTTCAAAAAGTATGTGATACTTTAAACTCGTTATATTAAGTTCCATTTCTAGACATTTCATTTTAAAAATGTATTGTTTAATCAATAATAGGATAAGATTATCCACTATCGCCAACTTACATGTACTCATCAGTGTAACGTGCCAATTTAAAACTAACGATAGGTGGTCGCTTGGTCCGATACTACTTTGATCCTAACCCCAAAAACGTAACATGTTATATTGCTCTTAACACATTTTAAGCAAATTCTCAGGTCCCTGTGGGTTAAAGTGGTAAGAACCTGTGAAAAGGGTGTTGAGTGACTCTGTGGGAAAGAATAATATTGCAGTTACTTACAACAGCAGCAGCAACAACAATAAACAAAAACCTCACAGTTTAACCATTGATATATCCAGTTTATTTAAATATGTTGTTAAATATAATATGCTGTTTATATTTCAACCAATGTTCTCCACCACGGGAGGTAACTCCTCATTTTCAATTACGCCTATATTGTAATTAGCGTCAACGTGTCGATAGCATCAATTAAAATGTATTACGATCTTTCTCTCTTTCC